CAGCAAGCAGCTAAAATAAATTGAATGTAACACGAAAGGAAACTTAATGAACGGAGTAGGGCCTTCACATTTTGTAACATCACAAGAAAAAATTGTTCTGCTTTAATTAAGTTCTTATTTACATTCCAGTTTAACTATTTTTGTCTAAAGACGTGACGCTTAAATTGAAATTCAAGTCCCATTTATTGTTATTTGTCATATTTAAAATAGACGTCGTTTCGGTTTACTTGAAATAAACTGTGTATACAGTTTTTTCTCGTAGCTAGGTTGGCAGAACTAACATTGGTTTTCGTGCTGACTAAACTCATCTCTAGAACAGTCACACGTGACATCTTCTCATTTCGAGAGTCGTAACAATAAAATGAATTCTGTTTTAGTGGCATTGTAACCGATCCCAGTTATATTCTATAAGTCTTTGTTTAGTTGTTCCTATAATCTTTAGAAAATATTTTGTACCTAAAGAATTTGTTTGATATTAAAATACAAGTTTATTCTATGGCGTTCTAGCCAGTATCGCCTACAGTGAAAATGACGCAGTACTGGTAAATTCGAAGGATATTTCCTACCATATTTAGTTATATTTACTATAATATAGTGGTTTCCGTGGCGTTGTAATTAAAACACTTGTATTTCACTGGTGTTTGGTTAGACACCATTTGCATCTTCGGAGTATACTTCCTACCAAATTAGTTGCATCGTATTTCAATTGTCTTTCCAGTGGTTCACTGATAGCAAAAATCTCATATGGCCTATAGTTTATGACTCTCATGACAATTGTTCGTCATAACATATTTCCCGTGAAAATTATTTTCTGAAATCGTCGCGATGTTAAAAGCAGTTTTAGCCTTATTCTTTCTGCAACGCTTCTCCATTGTGTGGCGTCATGTAATTTCAAAACAGCGTTAATTAATGAAGAACGTCTGAAATGATATGCATAATGTGTACAGATATAGTGGAGTGACAAATTTGTTCCAAATGATCCCAGCAGACACGTAAGGTCAATATGCAGTTGATTACCATACCAAAATTAGTTGTTTATAAACGACAGCGCATAAATGTGTTGGTATTTCTGAAACGTATTGTGATGAACATTTGCACTGCATTGTTAACTAGCAATATTCAGGAATTCTCGTTTTTAGACAAATTAACTGGTGGTAATGAGCATTGTCTTGTCGTAATAATAACGAGAGGGTTAGCACAGCTGTAGCTGGTCTAACTCACGTTCTGAAGGTACCGGCTTCGAATTATGTAATGTGCCGGACCCAATGAAGAAGCCTTATCTCAGTTTATATTTCAGAATTATAGGATAGTAATTTAAGTAAGCCATGTCAGTTTCTGAATCATCTAACAGTTTTACGTAGTTAACATTATGAACGCAATACTGACGTGATTAGAAATATCAATTTTCATCGTGGAATCAGTATTCGAAATCCTTACACTTCTATTTAATTTACTTTTAAAAGAAGATGGCTGTCTTTAGACTCACCGCCGTGAAAACCTCAAATTCTACGTACTTTTACAAGTATATATTTGACTCCGTGCATTTTAATCTCGGTTCTAGATTAGTATTAATAATAACTTTATAGTCGAGTAGCTGTTCCCTCCAGTACCCATTGGATGTGAGGATGGTTGGCCCCGAACATAACTTATATTTCCAAGAAACTTCTTAGACAATACTTTAGCTCTTCATCTACTTATCGGTCTTTCAAGTGCTCGCTTATTCCATCAATATACTCATATATACACCGTGATAATTAATTAAGAGTACAATTTAAAAGTATTTAAACTTTTCATTAGAGTCACTTTGCCGAAAACTAATTTATCCACAGTATTGCCCTAGCATTCAAGTTTATATCCATAGATGGTGCGCGGTTCATGGAACATTCTACGTCTTTGCGAAAACAGTGACTGGGTTCTTGTATGTAGACATGCGAGAACTGTTCCTTACACCCCAGCTACAGCAAGACAATGAGGTAGCAGACGTCCTGTTTCAACATATCAGCGTTCCGTAGCATTATCACCGCAGGGTCACGTTTTTCCTTCATGCTACATCCCGCAACAAGTATGTTGGTCGGAGCTATCTGGTGGACGTCGTTGTCACGAGATCTCGCATCCCTCGATTTTCATTTGTTGCGCTAGGACGAGGCCAAGTCTCATGTACCTCCTCCGACATAAACTTCAAGGGAACTGCGAGACAGAACCCGTAATGCGGTAATGAGTGTGGAACGAGATTGCATTCAGATGGGACGTGTGTCGAATCACCCGCGGATGTCATATCGGGCGCTTATGAACAAAAACTTGCATTTTGTATGACTGTTGTGGGGAAAGTTGTTTTCCAATACGTGACCTGAATAAAAAGTTTCTTTAATTTGTTGTCGTCTTTTATTTTAGGTCTTTCCAGCACATTGTAGTCATATAACTTACAAATCAATAATCCATAGTATCACTGTAGGCTTACTTCATAATATAACTACGCTGTATTCCTATGCTGCACATGCATTTTACACGATTTTACTAACCATATAACATATTAAATTAGACCCTTCTGATGATCAAAGGAAGGTAGTTTCTTTGCAGTTATTGATAATTCTTGTGACGTGCATAATTTTAACGTTAGGAGCACGTTATAGGCCTCGTTTGAATTGCAAGACTTTTATGAAGATGGCTGCTATCTGATAGTTCGTGTATCAACCTCAAGAGCGTGGCGTGCGATGGAATTTAATATGCAAGGTCTGTCGATTGCTTCCTGACTGAGAAGGGTTTCATAATAGGGCGTCGCCAACCCGTCACTTAGACGTATAATTCTAAAAGTGACTTAAAGCTCCCTCTAGAGAAGTCCATTTATTATAGCGTATAAATCTCGGATTGTATTGCTACTGTTACACAGCAGTATCGTCTAGTTCGGTGTTTGTATTGTTCGATTCCCGGCCACAGACAGCGTGTTTTATCGTAGTCCCTGCAGGCGAATGCGAGGGAATACCTTAAAATAGGTCTTCAACCAAAAGGCGTGTAAGTGGTTGGTACTTCTGGTTCTTGCGGTTCTAGGGTCATATCTCGTCCCGGAGAACGGCTATCGTAACAATATTTTGTTGTGCTTTTATATAGCCTCTACAAGCAAAACCTAATATTTAATTCATTATCTACGGTATGTTTTGCTGTAAGGAGTGGTGTGATGCAGAATCATATATGAGTTGATTTCCTGAATTAAGTAACAACTCTTTATCTCTTTCGTGGCTTATTTTAAAGCACTGCTGTTGTCACATCACTTAACTGTCGGCACTGACGAAAATAATCAACAGAATACCCGAAAACATCGGGATTCGAACCTTGCACCTAGCATATGCAAGGAGCTAAATTCCCCAGTGAGCTAGTCAGCTTTGTTATATCGTTCATCATTATTTGACATTCCATTTTCGTGAAATTTGTGATGAAGAACATGTCAATGAAAGCCAATCCATCTGCATTATTTTAACTACCTGTCATCCGTGCTAAACAAACACGTGATGTGCTAGCAGTAGCGATACTCGATATAGGGTCGTGGAACTCTGTTTGGTGATAGATATGTCAGAAATGTATAACTCTTATTGAACTAAATTATGAGGAAATGGGACACAAAATGTCAGTCAGGAGAAATATTTTTATCTCTTCGTGATAATTCATTACGTCTTGATCCTTAAATGTGGAATACGCACTGTAATATTTTATGAACACAACTTCTGTATTAGTGATATTAAACTTTGACATTTCTTATCCTTCGGAACCACAGCGTAGATCACATTAGCGTCAGACATTTTAATAATGTATCATTATTCTTTGGATATTTAAGGATGCTGTTAGTAAACTGTAGAGGTTATATAACGTCTTATACGATGTTTATGAATGGTGATTGGGTGAGAATATCGAGGTTGTCATGTCACTTGTTTTTATAAGCCTGCAGATACTGAGGAAAACCTTAGTCAGAATCCCTGGTATCCCGGTCAGTACCTGAACCGGCTTTCTCTCGAATGCTACACCAAACTGCAAGATCAGATATCAGTTAAAGTTTTCCCTTTGGCACTTTCTTCGTTATTTTCTTTGTTGTACCCCTCATTCTTTGTTTGTTTCGCTCTCCCTCTTGTCCGTTATTGTTTATTTCCTTTCTCTTAAAAACATTTCTAATTCTGATACCGACTTACGTCACGTTTTCAATGGACAAAGGTTTTAGGCTGCAAGAAAAGTTTTGTGTGGATATTGTAATGACGGTAATGGTGTTCAAGATGATAATGATAATGATAATGACTGTGATGACCAACAAAAATTCATAAAATGTCTGACAGAATGTAACATGGCTACTCGGTGGCCTAATGAAGAGCAAGAGGAGACCGGACGGAAGAGAATTTTCATTTTACCGAGCCCACATTTGCATACGGGCCCATATGTTGCTCATAACAACTTGGACATGAAATTTTCACAGAGGTTGAAAGAGTCGACGGCTCTCCATTAGGTACAAACACGGGTGGGCGTGTTAGAACACGGAAACTTTCATATCCGGTATAGTTCGATTAACGCATCTAGGACACGATTTTCGAAGGAAATTTTTCCATGATCACATCCAGGAACAAAATATTAAAAGTTTGAAACACATCGGAGCCCACATGTTCTTTACATAATTTCTATTTTTCAATATCTGGGGTATGGACCTTGTATCGGAGAGATGAGAGATTCTTACAAAATTGAACAGGAAATTATGGAAGAGACCAGTTGGGAGACCTAGACAAGACAAAAAGAATAATATTAAATTGGATCTTAAAGAAATGGCGAGGGTATGGACTTATATCAGCTTTCTTTGGGGGAGTGCAGTCGTGGACTGTTGTAAGCATTATAGTGACAATTGCGTGCTACACTGCCACTTGAGTTTGTTTCTCAGAGAAAGTTTTTAGATCACTTTTCACCACGTCTGCCAAATTACCCACGAAAAGTAGGAAACCTTGTATGGCCTGAGCCACTTTGTTATGTTTCAGAGCCTGTTTCCATGGCTACGCTGTTGAGTTTGGCCGCAGGCAGTCTCCTCCTACTGCTCATCTTGGTATCCTTCACAGTTTACGCCCTACGAAGGGAAAAATGCTGCTTTGCACGTAAGTACTGCTTATTTTTTATTTTTTCGTTTTCATAATTCTTTGCTGACCGTGAAAATTTCGAGCCACATAGACATCTGCGTAACTCATAACTCAGGGTCGTTTTGCATGTACACCGGTTTGCAAACAGGTTATGGAAAGACAATTCGAAGGTTGTTTTAGACAGGAAGAATTTCATTGTCAATATTTAGGTCTGTGTTTATCCGAGACGCTCAGCTGCGCAATCGCTAAAAATCCAATTCCAGGTTGATTTGTAACCGTTGAATGCATCAAGCGATCACTGTGTGGCACCTTGTCGGTAAATACAAAAATTTTCGATGCCACAGCCTTCGATATTTAGAACCTCAATTTAGCATTTCGTAAGGACATTTCAGTGTTTGTGCCTTGTTATATACTTACATGTGTCAGGAAGTTAAATACAGACTGGCTTCCACTAGGGCTAGTAATGTTGCGCTGTGTTTGCGTGTATTATTAAGGCCTTATGTTTCATTTGAAGGTCTCTTTGGTTATTTTATTCCTTGGAGAACAAGAATCTCTCTTCCAGGACCTTGGTTCTTTAACATAACACTCTAAACTAAACTAAATGTTGAAGATTTCTGTCTTCTGGGTTGTTGTGCTGTGCAGTTTGGTCGACGTTTACCAACGTTTCAGAGGTCATACTGCCTCCGTCATCAGGGCGATGAATCGGAGGCTGTTGGTAGACATCGACCAGCCTACACAGCGCAACAGCCCAGAAGACAGAAATCTTCAAACTCGCCGCTGTGGAAACCTCAAATCATAAACTAAATGTTGTTGAGTTTGGTAGCCGCGAAACCTTCAAATCGTGTAACATCTAAACTAGACGACTACGATATGTAATGTAAGGTAATAAAACGCTGTTGACCTACAGAATCAATCTGCGAACTTTTGGGTTTAAAATAAACAGCAAACGGCAAGAGGCTGTGTCTGAAATCACTGCACGCTAGAAGTCAGAGGGTAATGGTAGAGAAAATGTAGGTCCAATTGGCTTTCAGAGGTAATGAGTTGGGTTGAACTGGAGACTTTTCAACACCGCTACGAACCTCAAAGCCTTTCTGCTGTTTGTACACTCTCAATTAACATTCACGGTTCTAGCCTTACATCTCATCATAAAGTTAGATGAATGAGGTTAGGGGGTGTAGCAGGTAGGGAGTCAGAGAATGGACATTTCAGATGGAGATATATTCAACGCCAATGTTCGTCACAAAGTCACCACATTGAGATACATTTTCGGCTCAAGTTAATCTTTGGAAAAAGCTGCTATTTCAGGAACTGAAAATCCAAATTTTTATTTTAAGCAGTCTTTTATTCTTCACAGCCTTTACAGTAGCAAGATCAATTATATCGATGTTTAAGTGCTAAAGTTTATCAGATCGATACTCTATGTTCGGCGTGTTCGACATTTTGTAATATTTATACTCAGCTGTCCCCATGGAAACAAATGTGTTAAAATATTTCCAATGGAAATTTTTCGTTCTTTAACAGTTAATAGCAAGATACTCATAACTAACTCCATGGGGAAGAGCCCTTGTTGAAAATCGTAGACAGGAATTTATTCGCCTTTTATGAAAATTGAAGGTTTATTACCATTCGTAAAAGTCTGCCACTGGACCAATCACGATCCCAAGAAATTTATTTAAATTTAAAATTTAAAAATCACTCAAACGAGAATTGATTGCGACTTTTTCAAATGTTGGGTCTTTGAAGGCTGGCACTCAGAAATTTAATATTCAAATTGAAGGTGTCGGTAAATAGTAGATGTATAAAAATGGAAAACACTTTATAATTGTATATCTAGAGACGGGGTATAAGGTTGTGGTTGGACTGAACAGTCAGTCGGATCGCGGGATTTTGTAAACATGTTAATGACACTTTGCATTCCATAAAAGCACGGAATTTCGTTATCGATTGTGGTCACCTGTGTTGTGACGTCGTG